GTGAAATAAAAGGGCTTTTAACTTGTCCGTCTTGGCATTTCTTTGAGCTTCTCGTTCAGATTCAGAATCAGATATGACAAAGTTGTCTGCTTCAGAGGATGAGATCACAAAGGGTTTGGACTGGCCACCAGAGGGGGACGGGGTAGTTGGAGACTTGTGATCCTTTCCAAAGAAGGAGCGAGTTGACCGGGCTTCCCGACAAGCACCTAGGCGCAGTTGCACACAATCTCAAACACTCATCTATCGACGCCAAACTTGGGTTTTGGCCATCTCATCACGATACTCTTTAGTATTGGGCACCATATGCAGAGTTGCAAATTTGGCCTCCTGAACACAAGATGTAGACATCGTGATCATGAGTATCAGAATGTGCACACTAAAAGATAAAGATCTAAAATGCATAAACTTACAATTGCTTTAGCCCATATGAAGGCACAGCGTAAGGTAAAACGGTATTGGAAGAAGGGGTCCCAGGGCGCTACAAGTACAACACCATCATCACCGTTTGACTGTTCAGCATGCTGATGGTACAGCGCCGCGGTTGTCTCGTGCAATTTGACCAACTTCTCAGATGCCTGTGACCAGTGAGCAATGATCAGTCATGATAAATACAAAATTAAAAGGATGAATCGGAGGAAATACACACTTGTAGTCGGGAATTGATGATTTCAACGTCTTGAGATCCAGGAGCAGAACCAGCAGCTGTAGCAATCAGCTTCTTGGCAGCACTCACCTGATACATATTCAAATAAATCGGCAGTATAGTCCAAACATGGAAATCAATAATGATTCCAAGATGAGAGAGATGGAATAGAACAGAAATTAAACAAAGCTAGAATATGAGCACAAAAAACTTACTTGGCGGACTTTTGAGCCTTCAAGTTGGCATCCTCGTTGAGGATCATGATTGAACCTTGTTTCTTTTTGGACTTTTGAAGTAACTCAACGAAATCAAACCATCCACTGTGGCCATCGAGAAGCACCTTGGTGCGACCCACCACCCCTTTCCAAATGAGAGATGTTGCAAGGTCACTTGTTAGTACAAGCTGCTCCATAAGGGGAGCATGGGCCTCGCACAGCTGGGCACAGAGATTCTTCATGTCGTTCAAAGACTTTCCAAAAGGGCAGACTTTGAATTCAATCGGTTTGCCGTCATTGAATGTCTTGAAATTGACCAGAGCTGGCTTGGTGACGCCAGAGGTCCTACGACCATTCAACACCTTGGCTGGAATCGTGTCGCCAAGTTCCAATGCATTGAGAGCATGAAGTTTAAAGACAACTCCAATGGTTACCTCGTGTCTTTTATCAAAAGAGATTTGGCCTACCAAGCCCTCAAGAAACAATGGTCCTTTGGAAAAAGGCACCGGCGCCTCAGGCCCTTCATATATAGATGAAGGGACCTCAAATACTGAGTGACAGAGTGTCAGTTTTGAACAACATAGCTTGATAATACAAAGGGATGACTTACAAGAGTTCATGTACCCTGATGTGGGCTGGCTGTTGTTGGTGTTTGATGATGGTGAAGTCAACATTTTTGATTATATCTGAGTGAAATGTAACCAAAACCAAAAGACAGCCATGAACAACATTGATAGACTTCAATTTGAGAAATCAGGCATAGTTAAACAACCCACTACTTTGGCTGAACCAAGAATTTGACTAATCCAAGCAAGAGCAAAAAAAGTCTGATGTGAGAAAGGCGTTTTGACTGATAAGGAGTAGAGAAAGAAAGATAAAGAGGCTGACTAGACTAGTAAGTAATAGTTTGTTGACAAGTTGACAAGAAGAAAGCTAAGTATTTGATTGAACCAGTTTGAAAGTGCCTTGAATCGAAACATGAAACTAGGAGAAAGGTCAGGCTTTATAGCTTTATGGATAGGCCCCGCAATCATGAAGCTGGCTTGAAATCTTGCGCAGTTGAATAGATGATTTGATTCCAAGGTGGCATTGTTAGATTGGATCAATACGTGGAACACCCCAAAGAACCTCTTGATTTCCAATGTAATGATATCATTTTGATTGAAATCAAACTCAAATTGATCCATCTCTGCTTTTGTAGTCATTAACATCACAATGGCACTGAATCAAATTGTCTAGATGAATTTGATGGTATAAATATGTTGCTATCAAAGCCAATTATGACAATTCCTTTCCAATCAAACAATTGAAACGAATTTGATTTAGAAAAGGCCAAGAGATTGTTGAAATTGGAAAGGCGATGGAGCTTGATGTGTTTGGCTATAGTTCGATGGAATCGATGGTAGAAATACCGTTCTTTTGTTTGTCCTACGGTTTTGATACTGTTGATGTATTCAATCGACGGAAAGTGAGGAAAGGATGTTGGTGACATCATTGGTAGTTACAAGAAATGTCAAATGACAATGCTTCACCACTACCCCAATGGATTTGGTAAATCAAATAGATTTATATATGTTATCCCGATCTCAAAGTCTTACTTCTCTTTCCCATCTTTGGATAGAGAAGTAAGTCAAATTCACTATCTTAAAATAGGGATTTCATATCAATGTTTTGTTTTGTCCATTCAATGTTATGCTTGTTATACAATCGATCAGATCATAATTTCTTTCACCTTTCAAGAGATCAGTTATCATACATATGATAACTTATAAAACTAATCACTACTATTCTGTACCTTTCTCCAGGTCAGAAGGTTCATCCTTTTATAAACTTGTAGGAGAAGTTGCTTATCAGTGCTATAGCGCACACTATTAGGTGAATACATCATCTTTGGAAAGAGAAATCATAATTTCTTTCACCTTTCAATAGATCAGTTATCATATGTACGATAACTTATAAAACTAATCACTACTATTCTGTACCTTTCTCCAGGTCAGAAGGTTCATCCTTATATAAACTTGTAGGAGAAGTTGCTTATCAGTGCTATAGCGCACACTATCAGATCCGTGATCTAAGACTCTTAGACATTCTTAGACACTCTTTCGAAGCAACAGCAGTCAACAACCGGAAGGAGGAAGAAATAAATTGGGTCAAATGATTGAATGAATTGACTGAAATTGAGGTTTCTTAGATGGAAATTGAGCTCTGTTCGTGATGGATGTGATGATAATGTAATGTGGCAAGGTCGAATTCTTTTGCTTGTATGAAAATCTGGGATTGAAGAGGAATAAGCATTGATTGAGGCAATGAAAGTCAGTTGATCATTCCAAAAAGACATCAAAACTTTCCGAGACCGGTGTTGTTGCTGTGAACGGGCGACATGGTATTCTGTGAAACGTTGTCAAATTGGCTTTGAGGGAGAATGGTGGAAGAGAATGGTGGAGAACGGGCGGAAAGTGGTGGGAAGAATTTTGTTGGGGCTACTCACTATCATTAGGTCCGATACTTGCCGGGCCAGAGAAGGGTCGGGTAAATGGGTCTTGACACTGTGCGAGCTGACCCAGTTTCTTTTCAGAACCTGTCACTCATGAGCCAAGACAGAGACGTTGGACATAATGTACTCTAAGGTTTAATGTCGAAAGCCTGGTAATTTTGAGTTTTTGACATGGAGCAAAAGCCATGTGCAACACAATTCGTCTGAAAACTACCATCAATTCCTCGATCAGCTGTGTGTAAATGCGCGCATCAGTGACAGTACGTTAATGAAGGAGTGACGAAAGCAGAAAACTGCTATTTGCACAAGAGAAACTTGATTGAAGGAGAAACTAACAAAGAATTAAAATCTCGGAAATACAATCGGGATGAATTGAAGTCCAGTTTGCGCGCACAAGCTTTGATCAGCTGAGCGAGGCGAACGGAGGCAATGGAAAATATCAATAGGAGATCAGGGAAAATAGTGAGAAACGAGCTGAAACGAGTGTACGTAGTGTGAGGTCACGCAAAACGGTTCACTTGAATGATGAGGTCTCTGAAATTAAGGAAGAAGTGAGAAAAAATCAATTGTAGGTCAGCAGGCTCAGGAAAAAGGATTAGCCGGGTTTGATTGTTATATTGAGGTGATTGAGGATAGATTGACAGGCAAAGTCTTATGAGATGAAGCTTTGAAGATGATGAAAGTAAGCAAAAAGATGAGCGTAGGAAATTGGATTGACCTCATGTCTGGTAAGCCTTCACATCCTCAAGAGAACTTATGAAGAGGCCAAGCAACCTCACTGCCATAAACTATACTGACTATTCCTAAGATAAATATTAACCAAGCATCTTGAACAAAGATGTAGCTAAATAGTGAGTAACATTTTTTATTGTCCCAAGAAAGGCGGCTGAATTGTTTCTTTCAGCAAAATGACGGAACCACTCCTGCTAAATGGGTTCACTGCCTTCCTATCGACAGGATTGGAAGACACAATCCCTTCACCATTGCAGTTGCACTTATTGCGAGGTTGGAAGGAATCTCTTTACTCATCTATAACCGTGCGGCTAGGAAATTACAAAAGGAGAAACAAATGGATCAGTTGACCCAATCATTTGTCAACACCAAATCGACGCCCTTTTTGCCAATATGCATGCCGTTTAGGTCCCACCACATTTACCCTTGAACGCTGCTCTCGCCGTGTCCCAAACGCAATCCCCCTATACTGTCACAGGAAACAAGCGACAATTTTCCCGCGGGAAAACCAATTGTATCTGACTCAGTTAATGAGCCAAAATGTATTATTTTGGCGTTATATCTGTGTTATTTGTACATTATGGCTCAGAAACTACATTATGTGTAATCGGTCTTCCCGCGGGAAAATTCTCTCTTGATTCCTGTGTGTTGGCACTCAACCCGTACACTTGAATGTTCATGGCAGCGCTGCGCCGTTCATTACGTCGGGATTCTACGATGGCAGCCCCTTATCTCAAAACACGCAAGCCCTGTTGATGCGCGGGAATGAACGCAAGGGGAATTAGCCTTCTTCCCGAGGTCAAACTTGGATCTCCTTAGATGTAACAGTGCAGCCCAAGCGCTTTCCGGATTTGATAGTCGGTATCTGCCATCCATGACAAGTTTTGGGGATATAACAGATATGACAGCGTGCTTTCTTAAATTCTTCATCTTCTGACCTTTTCACATTCCATCATACTCCAAAATGGCCGATTCACCTACCTTGGATTCAGATCCTGACAAGAAATCTCATATCTCACTTCAAGCTATCAATACACCTAACCTCGAACCAACCGATGTGCCAGCTTGGGACTCGAAATTGCTTATCGTCGCTCATCGTCAATACGGTCCAGTCGCAGGAATGCTGTGGGTAGCTGAAGTGAGATCCCATGGATCCTTATGTGCCTGATGAAAATGATCAAGTGACGATAAGTCTTTACAGGCAGGACTTTTGATATGGTTTATTGGGATCTGGAAGGTGGTTTTGACTCAACCCGCCAAATTATTCACATTCCATCCGTTGCTTCAATCTTTTGCTATCCTCTCTTTCTACCAAGGTGGGCCTTCACTAATTATTGCGCTGGAGACCCGAATCTAAATCCCAAACAGCGAAACTCTAACCTTTTTGGGTCATATGATTTCAGGCATCTTGGTCTTACAGCCCACTAAGACTCCCGCACAGAAGCGCGCAGGTTTGAGTGTGCATGAGGTTTTTCAAATTACTGGAGCCGTAGCCATCACTGCCGGCACGGTCATCATGATCGTCAACAAGTTACTTCATAATTGTACATGGCACATTCTAAGCATTGTCACCACCACACTCACATTGGTGTTCTATACGGACAGACGAAACCATTCCAATTTTTGCATCTAATTCTTGACAGCTGACTATTGACGTATCGATCTTAACTATGTCCTTCCATAGCTCCCCATTTCAAGTCTTGGCATGGCCTCCTAGGTTTCATCACAGCATGCCTACTCGTCATTCAATCTTGCTTTGGTGGGCTGATAGGTTTCGAATGGAGTAGGAAATTGATCTTGGGCGAAAGTAGGGCAAGGAGTTTGTGGAAATATCATCGGTAGGAACTTGTACACTCCATTCACTTTCTCTAGTTAACACATGCTAACAAATCTTATTTCAACGTACAGGGCGTCTGGATATATTTTAATAATCCTTATCACTCTCACCTTTTTAACAGCAACCAAAAGTGAATGTAGGTTTCCAATCCATATGTTTCTGATAGTCTGACATGGATACTGATAGTGATGTGTCCGCATATCAGGGTTTAAAATGGTCTCGTCAACAAGCGAGCGATATGTTCTTGCGTGTGCATCAATTGTTTCTGCTGTTGGCTTGCTTGCTCGTACAAAGTCAGTCTCTCTCGCAAGATAATAATCTTTGAATCGAAACTGATTACTTTCCTCTGCGCGGTTCACATTATAATCGTAGCATTCGTAAGATCATACCTGCAAGAGCTCGAGCTTCCTAAATCAAACTCTATTCCGACTGTTTTTTACAAGAGACTGTGTCCTCTGCTCAGAAATACTTCTTTCACAATTTTATACATGATAAGTATGTTTTTTGTTTTGACTTCGAGTATTGCAACATCAACATTTCTTATCGATCATCAACCTTCTCGATTCTTGTGTATTTCTACTCCAACTTTTTTGTAAATCACCCCTGTTTGGCAAATGCTCGGGCTCAGACTGGTAGGAGCAGATATTCACAATGGAACTCTGGAGTTTCACTGCTAGCACGCGATCAAAGTAATAAGAACAGTTGGGTAGTTGCCATCAGTTCACAACACATCCGAGGCCCTGTAAACTTGACTCCGCTAGCCAACTTGCCATGGAAACCACCGCTGGACAAGCACAGAAAATGGTGGAACCCATGTGTCCGCTCCCGAGCTTGGTATGACCAAAAGCCCAAGGAGCTACACTAATCAATGATAAAACAAAGCATAAACAATGAATACTATTATATATTCCTCACACCTTGCGTCTAGTATCAAAGACAAAACTGTAACACACCAATCCTTGTATCTTATAATTTACAGATATATATTTTTATCTTGGGTAAATACTACCTCAAAGACAAAAGCCATGAGAAATATTAACTCAAAATCTTATGCCTAAGTATCAAAGGCAACCAAAAAAATTCCAATAACAATCAAGCCCCAAGACTAAGTATTACAAAGATACATTCCACAAGCAACAAGCCTGAGCCAAATAAATTTGTACTTCATATTCTAGACTATAGGATACGCAAGTAGAAACTAACAAGAGAAGGGTCTGTTAGAATTCTTATGTGTGCTACTTAACCATGTCACAACTCATCTATGACATCATACTTAAATTTCATGTATTCACCACATTTCACATCTTTTGATTCATTCTTAACATGAACAGCTGATGGTTTGATTGATCCTCATCTCTTCAATCAAACCATCTTAGGTACAGACCAACTTCCTATAGAACTCAAGTCTATATTTGGTACTAACCATTGGCTGTTCAGATTGACCATTGCTTTACAGCAACAGGGTCTTGGCTAAAACGGAAGAACCCAACAAGGAATACCACCGGAATCCCTTTTGGGATTCTGTCAATAGTAAAAGAAATGAACATGACCAAGCCAAGAATAAGTGTTTCAAGACTGACTCAATTGGTCCCAGAACCACGAGTCAGCCAGTATCCCTCTGAGAGTATAAATAGTCACTCTTTGACAAAAAAAAACAAGGACTCACCTTCTTCACCACACAACTTTCTTAAATACAAGAAACCTGATTAAAACTTCAAAACCCAGCTTGACCTGAGAAATATCCTGGACAGTTCTGTTCCTAATAGTTTTGACCACCAAAGAAGTGTCCAACTCATCTATCACTAAACACACCCTGATCAACCTTGAAGAATCCCTATTTTCCCATTGTGTTCTCTCTTTCAGGGAACAGCAATTCTTCCTAGACCGAATTTGGAGCTACTATATTGTGATAAAACCCCTCCTACTCTACCTTCAACAGTGAGTAACCTACTTGGTCCATACCATTGGTTTTGCAGTGTAAAACTGACAAGATCCCTACAGTTTGACTCAGGCAACTCTAAAGCATCCCTTTAGAGAGCATCAAGGCCTGAAGCCCGACCAGCTTGACAACTGTTAACCAACTGTAGGCCTTGGAGACAGGTAGTAATCAGTAAATATTTCTCTAAAACCAGAATATCTAAGTTGATTATATAACCTACTTACCTTTTGTTACTATTGACAATTGACTAGTACAGTTAATTATCAAGTAACAGATCATAGTTAACCAGTACAGTCCTATTCAGGGCTAGAAAGTACATAAAGACTAGATCACTTACCTTCAGATAAGATTTCTTGTATGTTTGTAAGTTGTCCAAGATGATCTGTCAAAAAATGACCATGTAGAACTTCTGTCTCTAGAATCATGACATCATTCTCTGCAACTAGGTTATCATCATTCTCAGCTAAGTCACTGAGATCCTCATCATACACTGATGATTGGTAATCATTGTTGCAATCAATATTATTGATCTATTGCATGTATGTCCAGGACTCCACAGAACCTTACATTTAAGTTTTGTTCCTGATCCTCTCCTTTGAGTCTCCTTGAACTGGGATCACAACCTTCTTCTTCTCACCACTATGTTTCTTCTTAAAATAACTAGCAGTAGCCGGTTGATGCTCTCCCCGTCATGCCCATCTATTATTTGTACTAGCATATTGGCTAATGTTCTTTTGTTGATTAGTCAATATTCTTTCACAGATAATTCAATACTCAGACATGTCTTCCACATCTTTAGTGCTTATACTTATTGTATCCTGTACCTCTGTGGGTAATTTCATAAGGATATGCTCCTTCATATCTTCAATACTTCGTTTTGGATATAATGATTCAAGTTTTTGTTGCAGAGTTGTAAGAAATTGTAAGGTTTCTCCATCTCCATACAAAAACTTCATTTGGCGTAGTAATTGCAACTGTCTCTGTTGCCAAACTGGACCACCAAACTTATTGGGAATCAATTTCTTCCAGTGCTCCCAATTCTTACCACAATGTTGTCTATGTTCAGCTCAAAACCATATATATGCAACACCTTTCAGAATTGATGGTATGTTGGAAAACATTTCAGAGTCAGGCATTCCATACAAATCCTGCAATGTATCTAACTCATCAATAAAGTCAACCCAATCTTCATAAGGTCTTCCCAAAAACTTAGGATAGCTATCCAATTTTGAATGATTCCTGGGATTTGTCTGGGGAGCCGGTATTTCCACAATACTGGAAGATGATTTTTCATCCCTTAGACCCTCTAGAGGTACAGAATCATCTTTGGTCATCATCTTCCTCTCTTCCTATAGAGCAGATGTTTTCTCAAGCAGTCTTTTATTCTGATCTGCTTTTTGCTCCTCTTGTATTCTAGATATGTTGTTCAACATGTCTTCCAACTGTTGTTTCATGTCTCATAACTGTCCAGCCATGTCAACATGAATTTCTCAAATAAAATGTCTCTCCTCTTCACGTTTGAGAGTCATATTCTCCATAGCTTCACACATATTTTCTGTCTCCCGCATAAGCTCCTCAGGAGCTGTGCTTGTAATATTCATCAAGTTAGCGAAAGACATTTGGTCTCTCCCATGTTGATCTAATATTTGTTCAAATGCTTCTAGTTTACTATCAAGCATACTATTAGTATCCTTTACATCTTCCACAAACTCACATACAAGACTTGAGTCATCATGCAACACTTTTATCTCATTCCTGTTAGACAATTAATTTCTGTGTTTTACTGATCAAAACAAGTTTGAACAAGTCTCTCAACCTCTGCAATTTTGCTCACAATGTTATTGTTGTTATATGGTAATGACAGTGGTTTAAATTGCAGGCAAAATTTCTAACCCTAGAACCAAAATTCACTTGAAGAGGTTTTGCCGGAGTAATAGGTTTAGAAACAATAGAAGAAGGAAAAATGCCAGGACTTGGTGATGGTACAACAGATGTAGGTGCAATAGGTGGCAATGTGATAGCTTGAGTAGTTACTGGGGCTACAGGTTGAAGCACACAAATGCTCTTTACATTTTCTGTATCAACAACATTCCTTCCAGAACCACAACGTTCTCTGGTTCCACTGCTGCTGGGGCAAGCACCACCGTCCCCTTGCAATGTGGGTAAGACAAGTTGAGCTCCAAGTGACAATCCTAAAGGAAACCGTAGCATGTTACAAACATCAAGTCTTTAAACTGAATGCTACAGGTGCCCAAAGGCACAACGGCACCTGTATAGTTCCATAGAAATCTAGGATGAACGACGAGATAGACAGCCCGGTACAAGTCGGTACCGGGCCCAAACTTTCTCCCACAACTTCGAGGGAGGATGATTGGAAATCCTCCTTCGAAGTCAGGAATATTCCATCTTGTCATCATCCCCTCCCCAGACCATAACTAAGAGGTAAACAGAACACTTTCCCTCTTTTTGTTCAGAAAATTTTCTTTTATCTTAAAAGATGTCAAACCAAGACCCTCAAGAATACACAGATAAATTAGATGATGTAGAACTCAACAAAAGAAGCAATCTGAATCAAGAATCAAGCTCAAAAGGAAAAAAGAAGGGGATGGTAACAAGGGGAAGAAAAGGTGAAGTGAGAGAAGAAAACAACGGTCGTGATAATGGTGGAAGTAGTGGTATGGTAGAAGGTGGAGATGTTAATTTAGGTGGAGGTAATGGTGATATAAATTTAGGTAGTGGTATCAATAACAACGATTTAGGTGGAGGTATTCAAGGAAGCGGTGATGTTAGAAGCGGTGGTAGTGGAGAGAATGGTAAGATGGTGGTAGATGAAAAAAACCAAACCGGAGAAAGAAATCAGAATCAGAACAAAGAAGGAAATCAAGAACAAGGAATTCATCGACATGAAGCAAAGAAATGTTAATAAACGCACCGATTAACAAAGGTGAAAATGGTAGAGGACTGATGACAGGTTTAGGTTAGTGCTCAACGTGAATCAATAGATTGTTTCCCCAGATGATTCTCCGTCCTTCGTAAAACTCTGCACTTCATCTCCTTCATTCTTCTTCATTCTTCAATCGTCCTTCATTATCCCTTAACACACACCTCTTCAATCGCCCTTCATTATCCCCTAACACACACCCATCTTTAAAACCTCGTTCTCACACTCATTATCCCTTGTAAAAGTCTACAGAAATCAGAAATGGGAAATCAATAGATTAACCCTGATAGGAAATGGGAAATCATAAGATTAACCCTGATAAGAAATGGGAAATCAATAGATTAACCCTGTTAGTAAAAGAAACCCACATAATCAAAAACGGGAAATCAATAGATTAAACCTGTATGTGAAAGGAAATCATATGATTAACCTAAAGGGAAGATATACGATTAACCTAAAGGGAAGTCACATGATTGACCCAAATGATGGGAGGTTTTATGATTAACCCAGAAAGATTAACCTATTGATAGGAAGTCATCAAGTTATCATCAGATTAACCACATAACAAAGAAAGAAGGAAATTATAAATAATTAACCTGACCTTAAAAAAAAAAAAAAGCGCGAACTGTGAACAAAAGAAATTAAAAAAGGCTGAACTGAAATATGAATAACAGAAAGACCTAAAAAGATAAATATGGAAAATAAAGTAAAACGTTAACCGGTAAAGACACCTAGTAAAGTGTTACTTGGCCAAGAAGTCAGAAAAGACTCACTATCAGATCTTCTGAATACTACTCTCCTAAGCCCCCCTTTTTCTATGCCCAGATCCCATCTTCGAAGTCCCTTCTTAAAAAAAAAAAAAAAAAGAGAGTAAAAAGAACAAGTTACTTACATGTCCAAAAAATGTTACATAGGCCGCTCAGTAGAAAATATGAATGAACCTCCGATCATTGAACTAACTCATAAAAAGTGGTTACACAATCTACGCTTGTTAGCAAATCAAGGAGAAATTTCTAGATTTGACTTAATGCAACGCAAATATGAGAAATGGTGTCTGAAGAATAACACTCCAGTGCAAGAAGTCGACCTTTTTGATATGGATGTAGAAATTGTCACGACATCCTTAGAAGGAACAGAGAAATCTAAAGATACGACGAAAACCAAGAAAGACATCAATACAAATATGGAACTTGGTGAACAATTAGGAAATTATATGACAGGTTTATCTCCTTATTGGCATGAAATCATGATAAATAAAAATATCCACATGCCGGTGTCAATTTTCGACCCAAAATGGTTACTCCAAGATTCGAATTATGTACGACGGAAGGCAAAGACCACGACCTGTCAAGCAGATACGTCGGCCTACACAGGATCCCCTGTATTAAATGAATACCGTTTAACCTTTGCTGAATGGCTAGTCAGATTTAAATTGATGATTAGATACCAAGAGACTAAATATGATGTATTAGATAGTCAAAAACACTCACCAATAGCCCCTCGACTAAGAGCTCATCGCGATAATTGTTTGCAGATTCAAATTGATTGTTATGGAAAGTGGCCCACAGCGATGCGCTACGATATTGCTCATAGACGTAATATATGGGAAAATAGATTGAGTAATGGAGGGATGGCTGATGTAGGCACTTTAGACAAGAAGTTACTTGAACAAGCAGAGAGAGACGCAAAGCACTTTACTGATTATAATTACGTCGATAACCCATACACGTTCGGCGGACCTATGCAACATACCAGCCCAATTGATGGAAACGTTTACCCAGAAAACAGTTCTTGGGATACAGCAGGTGCCTTTGTAGATACACATGCAGATATGTTAACAGGTAAAAATTTACCGGTATGGAATAGTCACCCTGTAGCTGAAAGATCAAGTGGAGCAATAAGGAAACCTAAGGGTTATCATGCTCAAGGTCAAAACTTTGACCCAAACTATCACAAGAAACAACACTTTCATGCAAAGCAAAATAATAACTTCAGTATGAATACCCAACATTTTAGACATAATAGTAATAGTCACCCGTACCAAAACAATCAAATTTACCATAATAATCAAAGTCGAAACAGTCAGACCAATTTTCAAAGCGGAAGAGGTGGGTATCATGCGTATAATCAAGGCAGTGGAAGAGGTGGTTATCAAACATTTGGAAGCGAACGACCAGCAATCGGTCCGAATAGTTTCAACCGGTTGACGATTGAAGGAAATCAATCAAGAAATCAAAGTAAAAGTGCTGATCCTGTTGTACCGGTAGTGCCTGGAACTAAGTGAGTTATTAATACCAGAAGTGAACGGAGAATAAAATTTGTTATATTTGTTTTCATTAAATGCTTTGTTTCAGAATAAAAGATTAAAAGTTGTGGTGCAATCTGAAATGTTGTTGTGTCGTCTGGATGTTTCAATTTTCTCTTATTCTGAATGATGTTTCCCTGAGAGACCTGAATCCTGATTTGGAGATAGAAACAGAATTATAAACTGATGGTGATTTGTTGTCCTTGTCTACTCATGAAACGTTAAAAAAAAAAAAGGAGTAGCCACAAAGTTTTGCCCGAGTCGAGAGCTACACAGCGAGAAAATGTGATCCAAAATGCTCTCGTAAATGACGAAGATATTCAAATACAAAACGGAGACAAACAAAATAGGTACCAAGTAGATTCAAAAGACTCACTTGATAGATGGCCAGAAAACGTAAAATGTGAAATGGTGTTGGAGGAGTGGAGGTTGCTGTTAGAAGACTGTAAGCTGACAGATAAGTGGAAAAAGGTTTGGCTGGGATTAACGAAAGGCTTTGATCAGGGATTCCCTCAACACCTAATTGGAGACCTGAGATGGTTTACACCTGACAACCATAAGTCAGCCTTGTTAGTACAGGATAAGATAATGAAAAACTTGTACAAAGAAAGAAGATTGGGGCGGATTTTTGGACCTTTTACGCACGAGACTGTCTTCCAGAAATGGGGATTTTTCAGGTCAAATCCGATGGGGAGTGTGACTAATAATGACGGATCCCTGCGAATGATCAATGATCTTTTGTACCCAAAGACTCATATCAAGAAGCTAGAAAAACGGAAAGCAAGTGAAGGAAAAGACTTAAGAGAAGATGGTGAAGAAAGTGACAAAGAAGATGAAGATGAAGTGAGAAAAACTGATGGAGCGAAAGAAATCATAGAAAACTTACATTATGAAGTAGAAAATAACTTAATACCTTCAGTTAACTCGTTCGTAGATAAAAATGATTTCATTACAACATGGGATGATTTTAACACAGTAGCAGCTTACTTTGAAGAGAACATATCAATCGTAATATGGTTAGCTATAGTGGACTGGGAGAAAGCTTATCGACAAGGACTTACACATTCTTCTCAATGAAAATATCTTACCATAAAAGATTTCCAAGGTAATATCTGGATAGATACAAGAATTCCCTTTGGAGGAGTAGCAGGTTGTGGAACCTTCGGCTGGATGGCAGACGCATGGAAAGATATTATAATGTCAATATTGAAAGTGGAGAAGGTTTTTCGTTGGGTGGATGATAATATGTTTGTGAAACGGGAAGGGGACTGACTCAACATGCAGGATGTATTACAAGTCACCAAAGCCCTTGGAGTACAGTCAAACAATGAGAAATTCCAACACTGGGCCCTAGAACAGAAATACTTGGGATTCATCTGGAATGGGAAGGAGAAGTCAGTTAGATTACCAGAAGAAAAAATGAAGGAAAGGTTAGAAAAGATAGATGATTTATTAAAAGTAGGAAAGAAGTGTAGTAAAAAGGAGGTAGAGAAGATAGTGGGTCAACTAAGTCATATGACTTACATACTACCAAATATGAAGTGCTATTTGTGGAGTTTATATAAATTCGACAAGTCCTGGTATAATCCTCAAGCATTGAGGGAAGTCCCGAACGAGGCAAAAACCGAGTTGATGGAATGGAAAGATCCATTGGTAACTTTTGATAGGTTGCAATTCAAACCTGATATCCCACAGAAAGAGATCGACTGGGTCGGAGACGCTAGTACCGGCTTTGGCCTTGGGATACTGATCGGGAGTCGCTGGGCTCAATTTAAATTACTTGAAGGATGGAAATCAAGGGAGGTTTCACATAAAAATGATAAACGTGACATAGCCTGGCTAGAGACAGTCGCTGTTTGACTAGGTTTGCTAATCGTCGAAAAACTGTCACCAACGAAATCAAACTGTTTCATCGTCTACACTGATAACACAACAACTGAAGCGACAATCAGGAATCGGAATTTGAGAAATAAACTTGTCAACAAAGAGTGGAAGAGGATTCAAAAAGAACTTACAAGGCTTGACTGCAATATCGTTGCTAAGAGAGTTTTGTCCGGAGAAAATAACGCAGACGACCTCTCTAGAGGGATTTGGAAGGAAGGGGAGTGGAAGTCCGAAGTCTTGATCAACATCCCGGAAGATCTACAATCGATTCTAAAAAGAGATCAGGACTAAAATGATCCTAAATGAAAATAAAATAAAGTACTTCTTGAAAGATGTGAACGGGTAAGTGGAAAAAAAAAAAAAGTAAAGAACAACACTGACATCAGATTCCATTCTCATACCCTATTACACTTCACTTGTCTTCTGTTTTATCGATCCCGTCCAAATTGATTGATAAGGTCCAAATCGATGTTAAAGATTGTTTGACTGGAGGAACAATAAGATTAAGATTAGATTGTTAAGCGGAAGTTGGACTCAAGCAACACTCGAGAACTATAGTACGGCAATGGCAAAGTTGGAAAGATTTGCTGAGTCTAACAACATACCACGTAACGAGCTACTACCTTTAAATCAAAAGACACTCTGGGAGTTTATTTTATGGGCAGGAAGACAAGGCAAGGTGAATTTAGAAGATGAAGAAGTAGTAAAAATACTCAATGAAGAGCATAAGATTACAGCAAAAACACTTACAAAGTATATCACAGGCATTAGGTCCTGGCACTTATTCCACGGCCTCCCCTACCCGACTGAGAACGATAAAACAATTAAATTATTATTAAAGGCATCCAGTATTGCTGATGCAGAGATGAAGAATGTACCAAAGAAAAAGAACCCGGTTCAGCTGAGGCACCTGGCAGAATTGGCTAAGGAATTATCAAAAGGAAACCAAAAGGAAAGGATGGCTCTAACAGTAGCCTTAATAGCATTCTGGGGAATGGCAAGATTAGGTGAATTAGTATCAGACAATAAGAATAAGAGACTAATTTCATTTAAAGACATCATATCGCATAATCAAACTTACTTAAAAGTTGCTCTATACAATACAAAAACTGTGAAGCCCGGGGAAGTGCAATGGCTACATCTAGACCGTATACCGTCACTTTTATGTCCTTACGCAGCCCTGAATAGAACAATAAGAGAATCAACACTGCCTTCGATTCACTTACCACTGTTTTCGTATTACGAGAATAAGAAATTGATTACACTTTTGAAATCTTCCGCAATTGCTATTTATAAGAAGGTTTGGGCAAAATATGATGACAATCACCAATTATCCGGACATTCCTTCAGAGTAGGAGGTGCAACGTTCAAGTGGAACGATCGTCAGCCCTTAGACGATGTGATAAAATACGGAAGATGGGAATCAAAAGCTTACGAAGTTTATCTAAGGAAATATAACGATGAAGATATCAGAGATGCGGTGTATATTTGGAACTTGATGAAAACAGATAAAGAGGAGGAAACCACCCAGTAGAGTATCCTCGGTTGCGAGACTGACTAAATGAGGTATATGGAAAGAGCTGAAATTATAAGTGGAAATATAAGTAGTTGAACACATGTGTAAAAATATATAGATTGTGAGAATGGTATGTTGAAAGATTATGAGACATGAGAGATTGAGAACCATTAAGGCAGTGAGATCGTCTGTTGAATAGAGAACTATCCCGCGAGGAACAAACTCTCAGAACTCACCGAGCAGGCTCTCCGCAGGCCCCGGACGTCAAGTCCCAAGAACTGGTAGCAGAGAGCCTACACAGTCAGGCGACCCGAGGCCTACGGCCCCCCCCCACACACGCGCTGTGACTTGTTTGATCTAAGTATGATTCAAGTTACATAGCATATCATCTAATGACCTTGTGGGCTTTTTTGTGCAGTAGAGATTAGATTAAATTAGAAATTAAATACAACAATAAGTTAATGAAAAAGTAAATAATACTTATCAAATGAAATAAGAGGAACAAGAAAATCCTAATAACCCTAACAAAAAGTGAATGGATTTCAATGGAATGCTACAGGTGCCCAAAGGCACGACGGCACCTGTATAGTTCCATAGAAATCTAGGATGAACGACGAGATAGACAGCCCGGTACAAGTCGGTACCGGGCCCAAACTTTCTCCCACGACTTCGAGGGAGGATGATTGGAAATCCTCCTTCGAAGTCAGGAATATTCCATCTCGTCATCATCCCCTCCCCAGACCATAACAAAGAGGTAAACAGAACACTTTCCCTCTTTTTGTTCAGAAAATTTTCTTTTACCTCCCACCCACCCCGGCACCCTACCACGCAGAGAGCCTACACGGTCAGGCGACCCGAGGCCTACCGGCCCCCCCCACACACGCGCTGTGACTTGTTTGATCTAAGTATGATTCAAGTTACATAGCATATCATCTAATGACCTTGTGGGCTTTTTCGTGCAGTAGAGATTAGATTAAATTAGAAATTAAATAAAACAGTAAGTTAATGAAAAAGTAAATAATACTTATGAAATGAAATAAGAGGAAAAAGAAAATCCTAATAACCCTAACAAAAAGTGAATGGATTTCAATGGAAGGGTGTTGTGATAATTGGTTTCACCCTACACCAAATTGCAAATTTACTGCTGAGTTTAGAAAATTAAGAAAACATAGAAAATTATACACAAGGTGGAAGGGGTCAGAAAAATATGGAAGAATAAGGGATGCATCACCCTATGTGTGCCCATCATTTTGCATGTTTTTTCATATTTTTACGGCAGCAGTGTATATCAGGTCACACTACACCAGATCACAAATTTACCACTGAGTTTATAAAATTCAGAAAATATAGAAAATTATACACAAGGTGGAAGGGGTCAGAAAAATATGGAAAAAATAAGGGATGCATCCCCCATGTGTGCCCATTATTTTGCATATTTTTTCTGATTTTTACAGCAGCAGTGTATATCAGGTCAGAAACTCAGTTTATGTCCAAAACTGCCAGTCATTGAGGCATTAACCTTGTGAGACCAATGAAATTGTCAATTTTGCATCAAAATCTGCAATGTCTCCACATTGTGAATGCTACATGTTTATTCTACACTGCCAAAATAGATGCCTCAGGTTGAGAAATCCAAGGCATCATTGGAGGCAAATCCTTGGACAGACCTTGTCCGAGGTATTCTTTTGCCCATGAGAATTACCTTGGATCAAAACCTTGGGAAGCTTCTGTCCAAGGTTTGGCATCCAAGGATATCTCAGATTAAAAAATCCAAGGTAAATATGTTGGCAGTGCTACCACATACACATTGTAATGAGTGGTGTGTGTCTAAAAACACATAAGGCACAGCAATCACGGTCCCCATCAGCAAATCTAGAAAAGCTTATAAATCGTTGCTGTAATGGTTTTAGCATCCAAATGAAAACTGTAGACCCACTATGTGGCTTTCATAATTTGCAACTGCCAAATTGATTGGAGTAAAATTTTTGTATTTGTGAGTGCTCAAAAGTTTCTGCCCAAGCCTTGGTAGTTTTGGACAAAATCTGAGTTTCTGACCAAATATTACCCAAATCATTTTTCTTTGGGAGATCTTCAAAACTGCAGGTAAAAATATGGAAAAATGTGGAAAATGATGGGACATCACAGGCAATTACACTACAAGAAACATAACATTTTCTGGGCAGAAAATTAAATTATTTGTATACAAAAATCTGGAAAGGTCAGAAACAGAGCAAAAAATATGAAAAAATATGCATTCTGTTCCTTGGTTTGAGATCTCCAATCTGCATATTTTTCCGTATTTTTGGGGTTCATATTGGTGAGTGTACTAACAATAAACCCTCATAATCACCAGATTACCACCTGTAACAGATGCTGGAATTTGGCTGATCAGTGCTGAGAGAAAATTTTGATTACTACAAAACCCCATAACTTTGTCAATTCTGGCTCAAAACACTCGATTTTGAGTGCATTGGAAAGCTGGTATTTGCCTGAAGATAGTTCATAAATGAACCAAATACGTGGCGGGCCTGCAAAAAAAGATATCCCCAATGAAATC